GTTTCGGGTGTAGGGTTTAGGTTTCAGGGTTTAGGGATACCTCCCGCAGCCTGACTACCCCAGCCCGTCGCCTCAATTATATAGGACTTAAGCCCTAAACCCTAAACCCTAAACCATTTCAGGGAGTACTACAGTACAGGGTTTACGGGGTTGATCAGCTTTTTCGGAATGGGGCCCTGACCTTCAATGTAGCTGCCTCCTATGGAACCGAGGCTTTATTGCTAAGCTTCGTAAAGCTTTCTTGATCCCCTGAAACCGTAAACCCTAAACCCTAAATTGTGAGGGTGTTGAAGGGGGTGTATAGGGCTTACAAAAGGGGGGAGTCGAGAGTTCCCTAAACCCCTAAACCCTAAACCCTAAGCTCTAATCCTTAAACCTCTTAGCACGACACCCTGAATCCCAAACCCTGTATCAACCCGATCAACTCCAGTGATCTCCAAAGCCGACACTCAAAGTTCTAAGCCCTAAGCAGTTTTTACTCCCAAATCTTAAACCCCATAAGGCCTCCTACCGGACTCCGCCCTCAACCCTAATCCCTTCAACACCCTCAATTTAGGGTTTAGGGCTTTGGGTTTAGGGGTTTAGGGAACTGTAGACTCTCAATTCTATAGGCCCTATACACCCCCCAAACCCTCAAACCCCCCTTGAGGCCTTGCTGGGGTGGCTTCTGCGAGGCCGCAGCTGCGGCGCGGGCGGCACCCAGGGACGGAAGGAGCCGGGACGGGCGGCGCAGCGTCAAGCGGCCAAGAGCGCGCATGGCCCAGCGATACCCCAAGAAAGTATGCACCCAGTGCGAACAAGCCCCATATAGGGTTTAGGGTTAGTTCGTAGATGTTCGTAGTTTAGGGCTCCGGGCCGACAATATGGTTTAGGGCCCGGAATCAGGGTCCCCATCAAGTTGATAGCAATCTTGAGCTCAGCTCATGCGCCTCGTGGACTCTCCGGACACCGGGTTCTGCAGACTTAAGCCGAAACCCAAACAGACCCTAAACCCTAATTACCCCTTAAGCCCTATGTAAACCCCATGTTAGGCCCCGTAACCCCTATACAAACCCCAGGTTAAAACCTCAACCAGCAAACCCCTAAACCCTAAGACCCCTGTGATGTTACGGCGCCAAAAGCGTTGTCAGAGCAGAGACTTCGAGAAAAGAGCAGCCTTCCGAAAAATCTTTACAACTTAGGGTTTAGGGTTTAGGGTGTAGGGGTCTAGGGTTTAGGGTTTAGGGTTCAGAAAGATTGAAGGTTGCAGGTTGAGGGTTTAGGGTTGAGGGTAGTGCTGCAGAGCCATCCTATCCTGTTCCACGATGCTGCACTCACAGCCATGTGCTCTAAACCCTAAACCCCAAAACCCTAAACCCCTAAACCCCTGCACCCTAAAGCACTAGGCTCCTAGAGGGACCAAAGGTAGACCAAAATTGCTCCAAACGACTAAGCCTGAGGGCGTCGAGTGGCATACCCTTAAAGTCCGGGGCTTTTCACGGTTTCAGTGGGCAACGCTGTACTTCCGCAGGAGGTCTGCAATCTGCACATAACCAAAGTCTTGTGCATGGTCCAAGGCAGTTTTGCCATCAGCATCACGGGCCTGCGGCTGGGCTCCGGCTTCCAGCAAGGCCTCAACCACGTGCAAGTGACCTTCGGAAGCCGCCCACATGAGGGCTGTGAAGCCTTGCTCATTGCGCCCCTCCACTTCACATCCGGCTTTCAGTAAAGCCTCAACCATTTTCCGGTGGCCCATGCCTGCAGCAAACATGAGGGCTGTGAAACCATTCTTGTGGCGGGCCTCCAGCTGGGCTCCGGCCTCCAGCAATGCCTCGACCACTTGCAAAAGATCGTTCTCGGCTGCGAACATGAGGGCTGTTTCGCCATCGTTATTGCGGGCATCCAACTGGGCTCCGGCCTTCACCAAGGCCTCGACCACCTCGTAGCGGCCCTCTTTCGCGGCGAACAGTAAGGCTGTGAAGCCATCCTCATCACGGGCATCCACCTCCGCACCGGCCTTCACCAAGGCCTCAACCACCTCGTAGTGGCCCTCTTTTGCGGCGAGTACAAGTCCTGTGTTGCCTTTCTCATTGCGGGCCTCCGGCTGCGCTCCCGCCGTCATCAAAGCCTCGACCACCTTCAAGCGACCATGGAATGCAGCGACCATGAGGGCTGTGTTGCCAACGTCGTTGCGGTCCTCCAGCTGGGCTCCAAACTTTAGCAAGACCTCGATCACCTTCAAGTGGCCATTTGCTGCAGCGCTCATGAGGGCTGTGTTTCCATTCACACCCCGCACATCCAGGCGGGCTCCAGCCTTCACCAACGCCTCGACCACCTTCAAGCGGCCATGGACCGCAGCCACCACGAGGGCTGTCTCGCCAGTGCGGCCGTGGGCCTCCACCTGGGCTCCAGCCTTCAGCAACGCCTCGACCACCTTCAGGTGGCCAAGTCCTGCGGCCCAGACGAGGGCCACGTCGCCTTCCTCATCGTGGGCCTCCAGCCGGGCTCCTGCATGCAGCAACGTCTCGACCAGCTTCAGGTCCCCATGCCATGCAGCATAGTGGAGGGCTGTGCGGCCGAGCCGGTCCGGAGCGCTCGGATCAGCCTTCTGTCGGAGGAGCTGCTCCACACGCCGTTGCTTTTCTGGGCCGTCGAGCTCCCTCGTAACCTCGACCTCCCGGGCCGTGCTCTCAAGCTTCGACTGCAGCACTTTCGCGTGCCTCATCAGCTTCAGCCTTGTGAGAACAGGCAACTTCTCCTCAGCCATCGTCAGCTTCCAAGCCAAGTTCACCTCCAGTTCAAGAGGGCTTGAAGAACGACGGTGTGCTTTACGCAAGATGGCTTTAGCCTCAACCCTAAAATAAAACCCTAAAATCCTAAGCCCTAAACCCTAAACCCTAAAACCCTTAAAACCCTAAGCCCTCTTCCAAGCCGAGTTCACCTCCTTCTTGCTGAGCTCATTGGCGGCATCGGCCGCGAAACTTGGGCTCACGACCTGGCAGGGAACTTCCTTCTCGGGGTTTAGGGTTTAGGGTTCGAAGGGCTTCGGGAGTGTATAAGGGGTTTAGGCTTAGGGTCTCGGATTTTCGGTTGAGGGGTTTAGGGCTTAGGGGTTAGGGTTTAGGGTTTAGGGGTGTAGGGCTTAGGGTTTCCTGGGTTTTTGCACTAAAGTGTTGTGTTGGTATATATGTATTTCAAGCTAGGCCCTCTGCCGTCCCTTAAACCCTACTAGCTCTACTAGTAGTAAGCAAAAATCGCAACGCACACAAACAAACAAACAAACAAACAAACAAACAAACAAACAAACAAAACACGAACAAGCCAAACTAGAGGAACAAAAAACATGTTTTATTTTTGCACCGGTCTGAATCATTCCGACTAGTCCGGAAATGATTTTGTTGTTTTGTTCGTTTCTCAGTGATTTGATTTGATGTTATTGATGTGTGTGTGTGTTGCTGTGTTTGGTTCTTTTGGTGTCCGTACTTCAGTGGACGTCGCTGCTCATCATTATTCGCAGGGGTTGCTGCTTCTAAGCAGGGGCCGCGGCTGATAAGCAGATGTTGTTTGTAATGTAGGGGCCTTAATCATTAGAACAGTTTTTTTTTTTGGGGGGGGTATATTATACTATAGAATTATAACAAGGAACCCAAGATAGTATCGGCAATCATGTAGGCTCCTATCATATAGTATAATATCATACCAGGCAAAACCAGATAATGTGATATAAAAAAACATGGTATCATATGTATGTAACTTTACCTATCCGTTCATGTATTTAATTAGCTAGTTAGCTACCTATTTATTTGTTTGTACACGCATATGTTGTTGTGATTATTGAGATTGGTAGTACTAGTACTATCGCGAATCATTATTAATATTGTTCTTATCATGCTCATGGTTATTCTTCTTATTCTTATTGTGTAAGTTATGTTGTTATTGCATTGTATTGTGTTGTGTTATATTATATTCCACTCCAATATGAAACGAGATGTTATACTATCTTATCTTATCTTATATCATATTAGATCATACTACAGTAGACTGTATTGTATTGCATTATCTGTATGTGTGTGTATGTATGTATGTATATATATATATAAGTACATAGTGTGTATATATGTATACATGCATCTCTGCATAGGAAAGTTTTACATTACGAA